GGGAACTTTGTCTGTTAGAGCCCAACTGATTTACTCTGCTTGTGACCAATAAATGTCATATTTGTACTCTTGATCTGCTCTGGTTTATTCTCAGGCTTCCAACTAAAGAACCAAACTAACACTAAATGAATACTTATTCAGTAAAACAGCAAAGAAGTCTCTGTGTCAACGTCTGATTTCTGCTCTGTGATGGGTTTGATATCTTTAGCCTGCCACTACTTTCCACAGCGTCCCAACTCATTTGTATTTGTGGTTGTACACATTTCTTTTTAATGCCCAATGAGCAGATAATGCCATGCACTTCACTAAGCAGACATTAAGTCTCCCACTTTTAGGCAACGATAACGTTCTTGATGAGAGTCAGACGCCGTCCAATCGGTCCCGAAGAGCTTCTTCCTCTTTTTCTAAAAAAGAAAAATCATTTTTTTAAAAACAGCATGCCGGTTTGCTCCGCGATGCAGAACGTGTCCAATTAAACTGATTCGCCGAGAGAAGGAGAGCTCCACCGAGCCGAATCACTCCATTGGCCGTCCATCCTGTTGTTTAATTCATGGGGGGGGGGGGATGAGCGATTTCTCCACCAACACCCCGAACGGCCCTAAATCACAATCAAACGCCTAAAGACTGCAGATGATATCAGAGAAAAGCTATTTAAAAACTAAAGCCGAGCCAAAGAGATGATGGACTGGAAATGAAGCCGCGTTGAAATGATGGAAGAAAGAATACGTAATAGAAAGGCCGGAGAAAACAAAAGGCGGGGAGATAAGAGCGGTCAGGAGGAGAGAGGGGACTTAATCAGTCTGGGGAAGTTAAGGTGGAAATAGAAGCAGCAGATGGTCAAACTCCATCCCTGACCCGTCTTCTTTTATTTCTCCCACAGAGCTGGATACGATGCTCCAGAGAAGAGTCGGTTCCTCTGACCTTCACCCTTCCTTACCCAGCAGGTAAATTGAATTTGAATTGAATTGAATATACTTTATTGATCTCCAGGGAGAAATTGACTTCCAGTACAGCCCGTACCAAGATCAAACAAACAAAACACATAGACACACCAGTTCGGGAAGACTGAGGGCAGCCACACAGGAGGGCGCACCAATTTTTCTTCAGAAAAAAAAGAATACATTGGGAAAGCGGTTGCGGGAAGTGGGAAAAAAAAAAGGCCCAGTGCCACGCCCCCTACAGGGGACGTAACAGTGATTTAAAAAAAACACCTCAGTACACTAAAGCACAGATACAGTAAAATCACAACATCAAGGACACGTAGGGAGGGGGGGATGGGGGGTTGGAAGGAAGGGGAAAGGTAACAACGAGGCAGTGTGTGTAAAACGAGGTAAAGCGGATAAAGGCTCAGGATTATGTTCATGCACTGTAAATTTACTCCTAAATGCAGGCAGACGGTGGGAAACTTCGTAAAAACGCGGAGGGGAACGTTTGACAAATCGCAGCTAACTGGTGCTAGCTTGTGTGCCAGTCAGTAGCATCATTAAAGCTCCTGACAGGCGAACGGATAACACTGATTATCCCATCGAAACGCAGGAATTATGATGTATTATAACCTGATTCATTAGTTGGAAACCTGAGAATAAACCAGAGTGGATCAAAAGTATACAAATTACATTTATTGGACACAGTTAAGTATATCAGCTGGACTCTGACAGACAAAAAACCTCCTCAAAGGAGGACTAGACATAACTGAGTCCTATTGGCCAGTTACCTCTGGGCATGAACAGGCCAGGTCCTAATTCATGCAGATGACAGGAATGTGGTAACAAATGGTGTGTGTGTGTGTGTGTGTGTTGACCTAAAGGTGGAAAAAAAGAGAAAAGAGAGTCTGTGGACACAGCCAGAGACTTTAACACAAAATACAGCTATAAAAGAAAATAAAACAATCAGTCATTTACATAGATTAGGTGATAGCATACAATGCTAAAGTGAGTAATTATAGCCAGATTCTAACACGTGGGTGTCAAAAACGATTCATTCGGGACTGGACACAACCAAGTCCTATTGGCCAGTTACCTCTGGTCATGAACAGGCCAGGTCCTAATTCATGCAGATGACAGGAATGTGGTAACAAATGGTGTGTGTGTGTGTGTGTTGACCTAAAGGTGGATCTAATGCAACAGAGAGAGAAAAATAGAGAAAAGAGAGTCTGTGGACTTTAACACAAAATATACTTATAAAAGAAAATAAAACAGGGGGCGGCACGGTGGTGTGGTGGTTAGCACTGTCGCCTCCCAGCAAGAGGGTTCTGGGTTCGAATCCCGGGGGAACCAGGGCCCTTCTGGGTGGAGTTTGCATGTTCTCCCTGTGTCTGCGTGGGTTCTCTCCGGGTTCTCCGGCTTCCTCCCACAGTCCAAAAACCTGCATGTTAGGCTGATTGGAGATTGGGGAAATTGCCCTTAGGAGTGAATGTGAGTGGTTGTTGGTCCTTGTGTGTCTCTGTGTGGCCCTGCGATGGACTGGCGGACTGTCCAGGGTGTACCCTGCCTCTCGCCCGTTGACCACTGGGATAGGCTCCAGTTCCCCCCGCGACCCCATGAGGGAATAAGCGGCATTGATAATGGATGGAAGAAAATAAAACAATCAGTAATTTACATAGATCATGTGATAGCATACAATGCTAAAGTGAGTAATTTTAGCCGAATTCTAACACGGGCGACATAACATTGATTATCCAATCAGAAAGCAGCCCGTCAGGAGTTATGATGCATTAGGCAGCAAGCCAGTGGTCAGTTCTTGAAGTTAGGGGGGAAAAGAGCCACACAGACATTAGCATTAACACTTAGCATTCAAACAGTGTGAGTAAAACCTTAGTGTCTCCGGTCAGTGGACGTCTGAGTGTGTGAGGGGCTTTAAAGCTGCAGAATGAGCCGTGAGAAACACTTCTGCTGGGTCCTGGTTCCCGTCCAGATTCTGCCTCAAAGTCCCCGTCGACATCCATCCATCCTCTTACTTTTAAAGCTGGCCAGAAAACGACCTGGACCAAGTGGGTCCAGACTAGGGATGGGGATCGTTAATATTTATTGATATCTATACCTTTATCGATACTCCTTATCGATCCGAGTCTTTATCGATACTTTTCTGTTATTTGGTGGAAAGACGATGCGACAATATTTAGCAAATAAATAATTGTATTTTAAATTTAATTTAATTTTTAATAAATGTTGGCATCAGTTGTTTAATTATATGTTCTAAAATAATTAGAGCAATAAACAACTGTATTACTCATGTTTCTCGCCAAAAGCTCAATTTCCCTTTTCTTTACGTTACACTTGAACGCATCATGATAACCTAATTGTCGTTTGACTGAGCCAATCTGAACACGTCTGAAACTTTATTCACTTTTCAAGCTAACTAGCTTGTATGCTGCCGATTACAACACGGATTTCACAATTATTATTGCAATAATAAAAAAAACGACCAGACTCGATAGTGGTATCGATAAGCCCAAACGGTATTGATTTTCGGGTTTTGAAAAAAGTGGAACCGGGTCCTTGATAGAACCGGGTTTCCATCCCCATCCCTAGTCCAGACACAGAACAGAACAGAAACCATCAGAAATGAAGCAACATTTCAGTAATTTGGCCTGATAATCTGATAGTTTACGCTCTGCTTTTCCCATTTCTCGGCGTGTTGTGGGATTTCTCTTTGTCAGACTCTACGTTCCTCAGATGAGGCTTTAATTTCTGAAACTCTTTAAATCAATTTAGCTTGATTTTCGGTCAGTTTAAAAGCCTCATCTCCCGTGTTCTGGCATAAGAAGCTTGGATCCGCTGATCCGCTGCCAGTTCAGATTTGCCCTACTTTCAGATGGAGGCACGTCTCCTCACAAAGCTGCAAATGAACTCAGGATCTGCCGCGCTGTAACGGGATTATGAGCAGGAACCTAATCATCCGGATCCCGGCTGCCAATCAAACGTGTCCAACTCCAACTAAAGCGTGGGAAAGTTTATTTAAACATATTCCAAATAGGAGTTAGAGATTTTCTTCCTGTCCCATGTTTCAACCCTATAGGCCCGAAACCGGAACAAAGGCCTCTGTCCCTCACTACATTGTTAGAATTGGGATATAATTACTCGCTTTAGCATAGTATGTTATAACTTAATCCATGTAAATGACTGATTGTCTTATTCCTTTTTAGATTCATATTATTCCCTGTATAATTCTGCTTTTGGGTTAAACTCTCTGGCTGTGCCTACTCCTCTCTCTGTTACAGTAGATACTCGTCTTCAAGCTCAACATTCACACTTTCTTATCACATTCCACCTAAACCTGCATGAATTAGGACCTGGCCTGTTCCTGTCAGAGCTAACTGGCCAATAACACTCGTCCTCCTGTTGGGAACCAGAGGAAAACTGAACATCACACACTGAGATCACACTGAGATCCTCGGGGAACTTTTGTCTGTGAGAGCCCAGCTAATTTATTTTGCTTGTGACCAATAAATGTCATATTTGTACTCTTGATCTGCTCTGGTTTATTCTCAGGCTTCCAACTAAAGAACCAAACTAACACTAAATGAATACTTATTCAGTAAAACAGCAAAGAAGTCTCTGTGTCAACGTCTGATTTCTGCTCTGTGATGGGTTTGATATCTTTAGCCTGCCACTACTTTCCACAGCGTCCCAACTCATTTGTATTTGTGGTTGTACACATTTCTTTTTAATGCCCAATGAGCAGATAATGCCATGCACTTCACTAAGCAGACATTAAGTCTCCCACTTTTAGGCAACGATAACGTTCTTGATGAGAGTCAGACGCCGTCCAATCGGTCCCGAAGAGCTTCTTCCTCTTTTTCTAAAAAAGAAAAATCATTTTTTTAAAAACAGCATGCCGGTTTGCTCCGCGATGCAGAACGTGTCCAATTA